ATATCTTATGAAGTAGAATTATCAATTGTCATCAAATGAAATGGATAAAAATAGTCATACGCGTATAGTGTGCAAAGATTATGAAACATTGTAAATTGTGATTGTTTAGTTGATTAGCAAACTATACGATCGACATCTAGTAGTACACGCGTGGTTCGTAATATAAAGTAGGTACAATAATGGAAGTGTTAATGTCCGAAAGAGGAAAAAAATTATTAATTTTTAATTTTCTTTTGCTCATGAGTCAATGTGGCAAAACTCGTTGGCGATGTGCCAAGAAAACATGTCCAGCCAAAATGTATACAATTTCAAATAATATACAAATGGGTACGTACATGGGTACATACTCGAACTACAAATGCCGTCGAGTCTTTTCATTCACATTTCAAAAATAATTTCTATATGTTACATCCAAATATACATAATTTTTTTAATGTTTTATTGCAACTTCAATCAGAAGTTTATATTAAGATTAAAAGTATAGGAACAATAAAAACAAGAAAAGGAACTTTAGTTCGACAAAATTTTATTCTTAATGAAATTAAAAAATATGAAGAAGGGGAAAACACCCGATTTGAATAATATATACAATCTGTATCATGTTATTTAAAAAAAAAAATTATTATATTAGAAAAAAATTATTTATATTTATATAATATTTATAAATTTATTTATATTTGTAAAATGAGTATTGGCATTACTTATAAAAATTATTTATTAATACACACACACATTAATTTATATATATATCTAACTATATAAATACACAGACGATAAACTCTGGAACTACTTATCAGATCGTCTCTTGTATATATTATATATATATGTATATTGACAAAAGATAATAATACAAATCAACAAACATGCCCGACCAACCAATAAAGCAACCAATATATTATACAAATGTGGATTTTCCTAAAATTCTCTTTCATATAAACCTCTTCCGTGAAATACTCTTACGTTTAAAAAAAAATCAAGAAGATCTGATAAGTAGTTCCAGAGTTTAGCCTGTACAGAGATTTTCATTTCACATTTTAGATTCTGAGTGAAATGATGAAAGTATTGATTTTACAATGATGTGTGTTTTTCTATTTTTTTTTTATTTTTTTTATTTTTGTGTCTGTGTACACGATAAGTAGTCGAAATAATGCTTCGATTTTCGACTTCAGTATCTTGTTCGATTGGAAAGTGAATATCGTTGGTGCATTGGGGAGGTCAAAATTTAAAATTACCAGTAGTTTTACAAGCGCCGGGAAAAACAACATAAAAATTAATAAAAAACGGGAATTTTTACGCAAAATCGGTTTTCCAAAAAATCGATTTTGGTTTTTGGTGTAACTCTAAAAGAAATGAACGTATATACATGAAATTTTCACTGGTTGTTTATATTTGCATTTTATATACACGCTAACATTTTCAAAATATTTTGATTTATTTTGAACTGTTTAGGGACATTTTCATTTTCCATTTTTTTTTAGTTTTTTTTTCTAAAAATATCAATAAAATTTTATTTGTTGGTTGCGAAAGCTTGAAAATTTAATAGAAGGCTCCTAGTATATTGTTTCAAAGGCAGATGAAAAATATTAAAAATCCTTAATCACAATTTTTTTTTATAAGCATTGAAAGTTCAAAAATTGACAAAATATGGAAAAATCACGAAAATTAGCAAATTATTTTGAGTTAAGAATTCGTAAAAATTTTTCTTTTTAAATCTAAGATTTGAAAATCTAATACAAGATTACTCATAAGATTATCTACCTTTATCAAAAAAAAAAAAAAATGTCGAATTAAATTTTAATGAGCGTTTGAAATTCAAATTTTTACAACATTGGATATTCACTCGATTTCTCATGTAGCGATTTCCTTTTTTTGTTGTAACTCAAAAACGAATAAACGTAAATACATGAAAATTTCACTGAATGTTTATATTAGCATTTCCTATACATCATACAATTTTGAAAATATTTTGACTCTTTTTGAGCTGTTTACGGACATTTTCAGTTTTAAATTTTGTTAGTTTTTTTTCTATAAATATCAATAAAGTTTTATCTGTTGGGCCAAAAAGTGTAAAAATTTAATACAAGGCTCCTGATATATTGTTACAATATCAGTTGAAAAATATTAAAAATACCTAGGCACAGTTTTTTTTTTATAAGCATTTAAAGATCGAATTTTGACAAAATTTATCAAAATCTCGAAAATGATCAATCATTGTAGTTAATAATTTATAAAATGTTCAGTTTTTATAGCTAAGGATTGCAAATTTAAAACAAAGGTTCTAATAAATAGTTCATACTGTAACCTAAAAATCTAAAAAATATATGAACACAGTTATTTTTTACAGACATTTTAAATTCAAATTTGGACGAAATTACATAAAAAAATACCTAGAATAACTATTTTAGTTATTTTGTTGTGATTGAATAATATTATTCGTGGGTACTTGAAACTTCTAAAGTGTACTATTTATATCTATGATAGTATCACGGTTTTTGTCGATGTATAACGCGTTATAAGTAAATAATAGATATTGTGATATGATTAATTTGGAATTTATTATAGGTACCTATTATAGGTCAAATTTTGGTTTAGTACCATAGATATGTATATAATACAAGCTGAACCCGTGCACTTCGTTGCCCCTTAAATGTACCAACTCTATATGACTCAAACTTTGTTCAATTCGTTATTTTATATGCGGTGTATTAATCTTAACTTTTCCGTTGCCCGGAATAAAAATTCTGATTCGCAGCAGTGTCAGGTAACCAATCTACCTGCGGTAGATCGCGGACCCCTAGTTTGTACGTAAGTGTATGATTCAACCCTAAAGTATCAAAGTTATATCAAGTTTGTCGTATTCTACCTATGGTGGATTAATATAATCAATTAATACAAAATCCTAACCTAACCTATTGCGTCACTGTTGTATTTTTGACACCCAGATTTCCTACTTATCCGGTGGATTTTCCTAAAATGTTGTTTCATTATAACCTTCTCCGTGATATACTCTTTCGTTTAAAAAAAATCAAGAAGATCTGATAAGTAGTTTCAGAGTTGACTCTGTACAATGATTTTCATTACACATTTATGATCTATATAGTTAGAATATAGAATATATAATATATTGACCAAAAAATAACAATCAACAAAGATGCCCGTAACCAATAGCAAGCAATACACAATACACTATTATTATTTTAATTCTCAACTTAATTTTTTATTATTATTATTATTATTATTATTTGTTAGGTATTTAGTGTGCACCTTAAGAGTCCATAACTCCAGAACCATTTATCGCACAGCATACAAACTTCACAGAAACCATCTACATATCAATCTTAATATGCCCTGAAATTTTTATCGAAATCGGTTGGGTGGATCTTGAGCTATAAGATTTATTCAAAATGTACACTTATTTTTATATATTATATAGATGACTTATACCTAGACTGACATACCGTCTCCGCTCAGAATCGTTTTTCTTTTACAATGATATTATATCGTTGAATTCATATTTAATATCATCCATTATACAGTGACCCACTTGTAGCCTACTGTACAGCAGAGCGACACCCACTTGCCCACCTTTTTATAGTTATTCCGTTTTAAATGTATATTAATAATAATAAATAATATATAATAATAATTTTAATGGGTTCAACGTTCTCTGCTGTACGCGAAATGACGAAATCGAAAATAGTTATGTTTTTATTCAACGACGACCATGACGATAAAGAACGACGACGACAATGCTACAGTAGGTACTGCCGTAGACGTAGGAGTAGTGGGGATTATAAAGGCGGTAGTCAATGAATGCCGCTATGTAACAATACGGCAAACTTAATACTTCTAATAACTATTTAAATAATTAAATTTTTTGGACTTTTCCCTTTTGATGGCTCATCTCCACACCGAGAACTTGCGTTAGAAAAATAAATAATGAAAATCGGTCCAGTAAAACTTCAGATATTATTATAACTGTCATAAGAAATCGCCTCACGTTTTAATAATATATAAAGATAAGTAATATGATATTATCTTCTTATATTGATATAGATTATAGAAATTATAGATACAAATCACAAATGCACAATTCTCGAGACCATGTTATAAAAAATGTTCGACATAAAGAAGTTATTTATTTATTTATAAATCAAAATAATGTATTTATTTCGGAATTTTCAATTTCGTATGCTTTTGGTACCTACTACATAATTCTATAAATTCAGTACCTAATAGAAACCGTACCGTAATAGTACCTTTTAGAAAGTCCCAGGCGATGCTTTCAAGTACAAAATACGATTCATACATCAAAGAATTGAAAACTTAAACTTCTATTTTGAATTTTTAACAATTTTGGCGTTTTCAGAGCAATTATTGTTCTAATATTTAGGTAATTTTGTTAATTTTTAGTAGGCTCCCATTTATACATGATATACATTTTTATATTATACTTAATTGATACATATTTTTATTTTATTTTCTAATTAAGAAGCTAATACAATTGTTTTTTAAAAATTTAATAATATTTATTAATAAAGTAAGAAAATTAAACATTTGCTTTCAAATAAACCTCAGTATAAAATTATAATTTAGATAATGATATATGCAAATAATTGAATTTAACTTATTATTAATATTTATAATTAAATATTACATAATGCATACCAAAAAGGTCCAAAAAATAGTTAAGTATATAATGTCTATTCATTATTAAATTAAAAAAAGGATAAAACTTATATAATTGTTTTTTCAACATTAATAAATAACAGTTATATATATCGTATTATAAAATATTTTAAGAGATTTTTCAGAAAGTAATAGTTGTGACTCAGGAAATATAGTCAGTGGATGATACTGGTTACATCATTATCTTGTAAACCAGTGCATGTTAAATTATGTTGTCAATACAAAAAAAAAGAGAAGAATGATGAAATAAACGTATTCATATCAAAACTATATTATCAAAATACATTTTCATATTCAAATGTGTACAATAATTAATTTTTAGAGTTATTTATCCCAAAAAAATTGTCTCTGGTTTTATCGAACCAACCACTAAAATTGAATTTCGGAATTTCGCTATCACATCGACGAAGAAATTTACCATATTCCGCCGGTCTCGAAAAGGCTTGTAGTGGAATCCTGTCGATTAACCCGCCCCCGCTATCACATAAAACTCTGGAAAGCGTCACGCGCTTGATATTCTCCAGTTGATCTTAAATTAAAAATATAGGTTAGTTCAAATTATGTTCATTCATTAAAAATAATTTAGGTAACTAACAATCAGTGAATACTCCTGGTACATCATAAAAATATCTATCTGCAATTCTAGTTCTTACAAATTGTTCCCTGATGAGGCACCTCATCGTAGGGCCAACCATTGCGTCGTCAACGTGTTTCTCCAACAATGCACCAACCAATAGATCTATATCGTTCCAAGTTTTGTATAGCTTCAATAATTTATCAGCTGACTAAAAGCAACATGCAGAAATAAAATAATCAGTAAATTATAATTATATTATGATTTAAATATTTTAAGTTTTTTTTTCAAACTTACACCTTCCACCATGATCTCAGACAAATCTTGCACATTTAATATGTCTTTAAGTCCACAGTATTTTCTAAATTGTGTGTAGCTTGGAATACCGTGATCGCGGCTTCGCTGTATATCCAAACTGACGATGTCCATGCCAAACGAATAATAATTTGGGTCCATAACATATAGGTAATTTGTAATCTATAAAAAATATTTAAAAAAACAGAATGTACGTAATATTGTCAATAATCTTAAATTACCGATTCAGTAAACAGCATATCGACTTTTTGTGTAGCTTGCACAATTAATCCTATTATCATATGACTCGAATCTTCCATACATTTGAGTGGTTTATTGTAATTTTCCTTTAATTTAGCAACTTCACTAATTTCAAATGTTGGATTTTGATATCTTTCGTCAAGTATTGTCCAGAAACTAAACAAATAGATGCACAAAAATTATAGTTAGCGTCTTACGTATAACAAAATACAACTTTATTATTTTATTTATTTCAAACTATAATTCTTATATTATAAAATTGTATATTATTTTTCATCTTAATTCAATTATATTATCGAAGATATTAATGAAATATTAGGTATGTATTGGAACCATATAAGTACCTACCTAACTATCTAAACTAGAGGTCAAATTTGAAAAAAAATGTCGTTTTATGTTATTTACAATTAAAATAATCAAATTTGTGCATACCTATATTGTTATTCAGAATTAAAACGATACCTATACAAGTTTTGCGTTTATCGTTATTTAGAATAGTGTTAATACCACCTATTAAATTTATTAACAATAAGTAATAATTTATGCGAGCAGGTAATGGCCTGAATACGGAATATACTTAATATAATCAGTTATAAAGTCCTTGTATACTACATAAATGTCCCTATAAAGATAACATAACTTTTAAATAAGTGGACGATTACGTTTCACGATTATTTGGTTTCATGGTATTCTATAAATTACATTTTGCCTTATTTTATGATTAATGACATATTATAATGTTAGCCATTATCATTTGCAGTAATAGATGTTTATCTTAAATTTGAATAGTAATATTTTTGAAGTACGACTGTTGTCTATTTTAAGAATTGATACCATGAAATGACCTACCCGAATTCACGAAAATTATAATAATGACACTAATAATATTATATGTGGTATATGTCCGAACCTAATATTATCGCCAATCATGGAATTGGCGAAAGGCAGTATCGCGGTCGCGAAGCTGTTGCTAACGGTCGGATCGGCGGTCACGTCATACACGGTTCTTTGTCCCAGTCCTAAACCGTTTTCCTTGGTGTAGTTTACGCCAAGCAGTGCCGGCAGCCATTCGTTGTAAGTGATGTGCTGTATGAAAGCAGTCACGATTTTCTTGGCCTCCCGGAAAATTTCTTCGTCACTCCAGAAGGGATTTTCTTTATGCACTTCTAGGGCTATCCGGTTGTGTTCCCTTACCCACATTGTGTACACTACAGTCAGTTGTGGATATGCGTTTGCTCGAATGTCACCAGCCCTATAGCACGTGCCTGGGCCGTTCTGACAAAAGTTCGTATCGGTGGTTTCCAGCGGCAAAAGATCAGTACTAGGAAGGTGATAAAATTTTTTTTCTACCAAAAGTTGGCCGGACGACATTTGTCTCAACGACAATGTCTGTTGTTCCGACGTACCGTATATCATCGATGCGTCTAAATAATGGGTAGCTTGGTTCATCTGTGAAATATAAATACGTCTTTAATAGTGACACGAATTTTTAAATATTCTATTAGATTCTGTGGTTCTTGCGAATTCACAGCATTTGCTGTACAAAAGCAGGGGCGTACTCAAGGGGGAGGGGGGGTTCGTGGGGTTTGAACCCCTCCCATGACCTTACTAACCGATGCACTTTTGTGCGTTCTTGTTTATACTTAATATAATTCACAGGAGCAATTTTCTAAAAAATAATTTTTTAGAAGGGAAAAAATAAACAAATATATTTATTTTTAATTTTATATCAACATGCATTATACAACGATTACAAGCATTATCTGTTAAGAACTGTATTATGATAACCAGATAACATTTAAATCAAACATACAAGGTGTATTGATAAGGTGTCGTCACTCTGGACCCCTATACGTATACACTCTTGATTGAAAATATTACCACAGTTCTATAGTCACCAGAGCGCCCTTCCTGTCCTACGAAGGCCTGTATATTCATTCTGTTAAATGCAAAATGTCTTAAAACTTCAGAATTAAAATGCTAATATTTTTGAAAATTGAAGTCAGTATTTACAAAAACATTGAATCATAAAAAGTTTTTTTTTTTTTTAATTGAGTTGGCATAATAAATTTGGATCCTGTAATTATACATTACATTTGCATTTTATTCATTGGCAATATTTTTATCGAGTAGACATCAATTAGAAAAAATATGATGTATAATTTAGTCACTTCTTTGGATATTTGCATCCTTCTTAAAATCTTTAAATTAAATCAAAACTATTATGATTCTACTCCTAATTCTAATAGTAGTCTGGTAGAGTGGAGTATTATTTTCTAGTGCTCATAAAAAACTCTAAAAACATGTTTAAAATATTTTGCATATTTTATTTTATGATTAGGTATATTATTTATATTATAATATTATTTAATAATAGTTATCTTATAAACTTCAAACTAATTTTGAAAAATTGTTTAGTGTTTTCTTGTTTTTAGCCCCTTGCTCATTTTATTCTTTTGTAAGTGAATATCATTCTTGTTTTGACATAATGCGTTATGATATATTTGGTTAATATTTGACTGTGTATTGAGCAACCAACCTTTGTCAAAAAATTTGTTTATATAATTCTTCAATAAATATAAATTATGTTAGAAAAATAAACAGTGAAAAATGTATATGTAGTTTTCAAATTGAAATGCAACATTAAAAACATGATCTTTTACCGGGACAGAATATTTATTATATTTAGATATTTTACACTATAATCAAGTACAGTACTTCTTAATTTTTTTTGTCATGAGGCAATTGTCATTTTGTCATTTCATTTTTAAAATTTATTTTCTGTAGAGTACATTACCATGTTTATATTTAATATTTTTAAAAAGGAGGTGACAAAGTCCCCGTGATAAAAAACAAAATGTTCAACACCCCCCCCCCCCCCCCCATTGAAAATTCTTGAGTACGCTCCTGTAAAAAAGACTGAAATGCTGGAAATATTAATCTTTTAGAAAATTGGATCAAGATGGTACTTTAAAGAGGTCTTTTTTCGATTTTCTCAATATCTTATTTAATGATACAGGAAAAGCCACACCCATAAACTTTAAATAAACGCTAAAAATGGGATATTAATTTCTAACACTTTGTGTTTATCACCATAGAAATGAATAAAAATAAAAATAAAAATGATGATTTTAGTTATTTTGTTGTAATTTATAATATTAATTCGACTTACAGAATATAATAAAATATAATAATTAATAACCAAGCCTGGGGATAAACGCGTTAAAAATTTAAAATAGTATATTTTTAAATTAAAACTAATTGGGTTATGCACATGTATATTTCATATGTTTATATTTATAAACTTTTTTTCCTCGGCTCTCTAAGAACTCAAGATTTACAATACCGTATTACAGTTTTTGTGTAACCATTATGTGTCCTGTGAAATACGTTTGTTTTTATTTTTCTTGATTAAATTATTAAATTATAGAATTTTTAATTTTTAATTCTTTCAATATATTCAGTCTACACTAACTGGAGACTTGGTCTGTGTAATATGTAGGGCAGGCTGGCTTAACATTATTAGTGTAATATGACACTTTGATGTTTTGATTAGAATTATTGATATTTAAGAAACCAAATCCGCTTTCAATACGTTACATATTATAACCTCCTACATACAATTGTATACAGTGACCACCGGTTTTGACCTTATCAGAGAATTTGATGTGTTTTTTGTCGTATCAACATTATTTTTAATCATTTTTAAAATATTAAACCTTATGTTCCTTGAATTTTTTTAATTCGAAGTTGAACATAAAAAAATCAAGATATACTGCAATTGTTTTATAAAACAAATATGGTGTATGTAATTTTACCTGACTCTCCGGGTAAACTGGCATATTAAATACTTTAAAAAAAAAGTGAATTGAAATTATTTATTTGTATTAAATGTACAATTAGACTTCAGAAATCTGTATATAATATAAATACAAATATGTTTCATGTGTTACCCAACTAACATTATTTCCTTCAATTTTTTTTTAAATTAAATAGTGGTATGTCATATTAAGCCAGTCTCCCCTATAATACTTACTGTATTAACAAAAGATTGTATTTGTTTCAGCATTTTCAATTTTGTATGCTTTTGGTACCTACTACATAATTCTATTAATTCAGTACATTTGTATAGAAAAGTTATTGGTTATTTGCTGTGTTCAATAATATTTATGATTTTATTATTTTAAACCATATTACTGGGTAAATATATAGATATAATAAAAAAAAAATAATAACTTAAATTAACTTAAGTTCATAAGTTAATTGAACATGTTCATATAACTTTTACCTTAACTGAGTTAAAAAAATAAATAGGTTAACTGTAACTTTAAACTTTCTAAAATGTTTTCCGTTAACTTGACTTAACTCAGTTAAAGGCTTGATAATAACAATATAAATAATCCATACTGGAAAACAGTCTCCGTTCAGAATCGTTATACAGTGAAAAACTTGTAACCTACTGTACAGCAGAGCGACGTCCACTTACCCGCTTTCTTAAATTATTATCACCAACATATACAAATAAAACGTATTAAATTATCCAAACGAACGAAATGTGCAATGAATTATTTAACATACCCGATTTTCTGTGAACGTTTTTATATAAAGTTGGCCAATACAAGCCACCATCAGAGCCCTTTTTCCCTCAAAATGGATTATTCGATTGTTATTATTTTTACTTTAATAAATATATAGGTAATATAATTTTTTCAATATTTTATTATTTAATATGAATGTTACTTGTTCCATGGGTCCAAATGTACAATCAGTACGCATCGCAGGCCGCGAACGGACGTAGTTCATGCACTCTTCAATTGGTGTATATATGGGCTTGCATAACTTTAAGTGTTTCATCAAAGTATGTTGAATATTTTTGTCCTTATCACAACAACTCTCAAATCTATGGTCTGTCCCTTTGGATTTAATATACGTACGCTTGCATTAATTAAAATCAATCAATTTATATACTGCCGTGTGCTTAATGTGCATACCCATTGTAGAAACCGCAGTGTGTGATAGATCGTGGCCTATGAACATCGTCCAGTACGCCATCATCATAGTTTTTGTGAGGTCAGGTGAGTCCTCGTCTTTTACAAAATTTGTGCTCACTAATCTAGGACCAGGCAGCTTATTTTCGTAAAAATTTGGCATTTCGGAAATACCTAAATGATCGATTCATGAAATCAAAGCATTAGAGGAATTAAAATTAAAATTTAAAATACATAATTTAAATATTTATCAGAAATTACGTGATAATTGAAAGAGTGCTATGAATATCTTAATGTTTTTAATAAGAAATAAATATATACACATAGGTTACGAGTGATTTGCGTCACATAAAATTAAGAAATATTACCATTTGTGTACTCTGGAAAGAGCAAACGTTTATAAGCCGTGTTTGCCTTTCCCAAATAATTACGTTCCAGGTTGTTACAAGATCCATCAGCACTACGATTATTGAGGTCCTTCCCGGTGCACAAATTTCTGTTGTTATACTCGGACCTACACATCTCACCGAATATTGTCCCAGTCAGATTCACTATGCTTAAATCTATTGCATATTGTCTATCAGGTTTATAAACATACTTATCCTGTTTCTGAAATGATAATTTTATAAATGTATGCATATCTATAATTATAATAAATCATGTATATTTTATTGTCATTGAAATATTCATTAAATGCTTATATATAGTAGACTGTGAATACCTATCAATCAAATGTGATGAAGCTTCAATTAAAATTTCAGCAGTTTGAGATGCCGAATGTCCGTTTTTGGAAGGCATAGAATTGATCAGTTGTCCATGAGCCGGGCTTCCGGTTATCGAACGACTAACATTCGATAATATAATATCCTCTGAACGATATCTGCTTTCAATTTTGTCAATGGCTGTTTTGATTGCTAGGTCTAATTCGGAAGTCTTAAGATTTAAGTGCCAATCATAGCGTGTGCAACATGTTGGTATGAATATCACCGCGCAAATCAAAAATCGTATTACAACTATCGAAGTACTCATTCTGATCATTTTTATCAACTGTAATCACATTAAAAAATAAATAAATATTAACTAAAACTGTAACTTTATTAATTCAACAATTTTTAGAGTTGTAATATTGATTGCATTAATGTATATATTTACACTTCAAAAGTGAATCTCAGCACTAGATGAAAACTTTTAGCTACTGAACATATCAAAATAATATATATCTTTTTGATTTAAAATAACAACTAGTTAAGTGTCTTATAGTGGGGTGCTTGTGTGCAGGCTGTGGCTTAGTGTTGGTGTAATTTCGAATATTTTTATACCGGTATCCTGTATTTGATTACTATACCGGTATTTACAGTATTGCCGGTTAAATAGTATTATTGGTTATTCGCAAAAATACCGTACCTAGGTCATTATCGAAAATACTATACCTCGGAAAAAGCCTGAAGTGTAAGACCGGTT